GCGGTCAGTGAAGTTCGCTTCATTGTGTTCCGCTGTTCGATGATTATGAAGATGGCTTCATGAAGTTGATCTTTATCTGGCCCTATTTGTTCACCTTGCAGTAACGATTGGGTCTAGGCTGTGAAAAGCCATCCTGTATAGCTCGAAGGGTGATGGGTGCACGAAAGCCACCACACTACGTCAAGCTGCCGTTTCATCGTCTTGGATTCAGAAAAGAGCCCTTGAGCACACTATTTCCCGAGAAGATATATACAAGACCCATATTCTTTGAACTTCGTCCTTGGTAATAATGCCAAATAAAGCGGTATTATTAAATTTATGATAGTTATGGGAGTGTACTTTTTTGAACTACATTCATTATCCTCGGTGTCCTCTTGTGTGTAAAATATTGTAACGATTGTGATACACTTGAGATTTTTACTCACAGGAGTATCACATGTTACACGGAAGCTGTACCGATGTGCCAAATTGTTTGACGATACGGGCACTTCGGTCAAACCTTCTCCAATCAACATGGTAGCGTGCGACCTCCACGTCTTATTGCCTAACCAAGCTCAGCAAGATCAACATTTGCAGAAAATATTTTGTTTCAACATCCGTTGACTTCAGAATATTACGATACCTCTTGCTCTGACTCGCCTATTGCGGTGTGACTGAAGTTTGTGCATCGAGGTCAAAGGACTGCGGGTCGTGGCTAGAGCATTGCGGGTTCGGCTAAAGAAATGTGGATGAAGGCTAAAGGATCGTGGGTTTTGGCTAAAGCTTGATTGGCAAAGACACATAAAGAAAATTGAATGACCTTTTGATCGGACTGAAGTCGCTGTTCTGCGTTTTGAATAATCTGATAGTATATATATATATATACCCCCAGATTGTTCAGAAGACAAGCAAGTGACTTCAGTCCGATCGAAAAGGTAATCGATTTTCTGTGAGGTGGTTGTCTGTGAGCACATTCCTGGGCTGAAGTTCGTCCTTTCAGAGATATCAAGTTAGACGGAAACAGATTTACAACCGTACCATAATCCACGCTTCTGGGTGGCACAAACAACGATCAACAACATCTTCAATGGCATAGATTTTACTATGTAAGAAGAAAAGGACAAGAAATTGTTATTTCTCGATGTACTGGTGAGAAGAACCGACAACGGAATACTGGAGACATCGGTGTATCGAAAACAAACCCATACGGACCAAGTACTGAACTTTCAAAGCAACCATCCAAATATTCACAAGTCGTCCTGCGTAGGAACTCTTTTTAAGAGAGCCAGAACACATTGCAGCACAACGGAAATAAGAGAACAAGAAGAGCAGTATCTCTTCAAATTATCCCAACGAAACGGATACCCAAGAAACTTCATACGGAGAATCTTGTACAGAACACAAAGAGAGCCAAGTCAACGAACACAATCCGACAAGAGGATAGTACTTCCATACATCACGAATATCTCGGAAATGGCCGCAAGAATGCTCAAACCACAAGGCATTATAATTGCCCATAAGCCTACAAAAACTATGAGAAGAAACATTTCAAGGCCGAAGGGACAAACCAAAAAGGACGAGAGAAGAAATGTCATCTACAAAATCGAATGCAACAATTGTGACAAAAGTTACATTGGATAAACTGGAAGAAACGTTGCAACAAGAATTCATGAACACAAACTTGCAATAAGAAGACACGACCTTCTTTCATTGATGTCCGTGCATGAGGACCAAGAAGGACAGGTTCATTTAGGACAACTTTCACATTCTGCATCACACGAGCACATGACATTCAAGAGAATTCCTGGAAGCATGGCATTCATCAACAAATTCAATCAATAGACACAGCGAACTGGACCTAGTTTACAATCTGCTGAGGCGCAAGGTCTCCAACTTATCCACGAAACAGAAGAGGAGTTGACCGGTTCAATGCCCACCGGCCCATGACCAGAAACCCCAAATTCCATGCACAGGTCAAGGTCATAGTCAGAGGTCAACTTACTAAATCTAGTAACCTTGGTGCGCGAAGGTCACCACTATAGCAACCACCAAAGGTCAAGTTACCAAATTTAGTACCGTCTTCAAGGTCAACAGCGAGAACAATTCTCAAGGTCAAACCTAGGGTAGGAATACTATAAATAAAGACAAGTATAGGGATCATTACCAACGCACTGACGATGAAACGTTTGCGATCTAAACGCCAAGCTCAGTGAACACAAGACCCCACNCCCCACAAGCCATAAACCTGAGCTACAAACCACACCCATATTCAAATCCGTTGAAAACTTAAGATCAATGTCGAAACCTCACCTACTGTACCACCTCAAATAGAGTAAATATTTAATCAAAACGGGGATGGCAACATTAGCGAGTGAACGGTAATGTGCGCTACCACAACATATTGAATTAACTATAGATATAAAGTACACTTAGAAAAAACTCACCAATAATGTGCATGGGCGGCGACTTCGACAGAAGCAGATGGTACGGCATGCGGAAGAGCGAGTACGGATGAATCCATTCGGAAGTGGAGAAGCTTATGGACTGAGTGAGTAAAAGTTTAACAAAAATGGTTGAATAAAGAAGAGACTAAAGAGACAGACAAAAATTAGTTCAACAAAAAAGCAAGAATAAATAATGCTATGTACGTCTAAATCAGGGAAAACGAGGCACCAAAGGCTCAAATTACCGAATCCTATTAGCATAATAACACTGAGAGCAACACTACATATAGCGCATAAATTCGCAATGAATTTCGTTGCAGACAACTGATTAGAGTAAGAAAAATAATTGCCTGCCGGAAAACGGGAATACATCGATAGTATAAAAAATGGTGGAACGGATGCGTACAACGTAAACAAACCTTCAGTATTGTGAGACAGGCAACAAGAAAATTCGTCCGGAGTTCGTTATGATGAGCGTCAGTTCTAGCATTGCTTACGTGCTTCATGGATTAATGTTGACAGTATATTATGCATCATATAATATAATATGCATTATATTATGCATTATGTATATCATGCATACGGTTTGTTATTGGAGTCATTTGAGTTACCCAGCCGTAAATCGCACGTTTATAATTCTATTTGCACTCATTGACTCCGTGAAAAATTATTGTGCCAAAGTCAAAATTTTAGTCCCAAATCAAAATGACAAAGACAAAGTTCTAACGGAAATTCCTCCCTGTCTAATGTTGCACCTAAAGACAACACTTCATTTTACTAACAGACTGCAAAGAATTCATGCCCGAATGGGATAAACCCAATAAATGCCATTCTTAAGAGCNCTTAAGAGCATGATGAACTCACATCTTCCTCAGATTTCGACGAGGCCAACTGACGTTCGCGATCGGTCGGTAGACTTACGCGTTTGTAGGTCTGCAACAGTTTAAGTAGTTCTATCCGCTATACAATGGAAGAAATACATGTATTTAACACCATATGTCGCCAGTATGATAAGATTCGAATGAATACAACAAACAGTATTCGTGAAGGGTCGTAGAGCGATTTCTCTGTCAAGGGAACGACATTTCACCGAACACTTGAATGAATCTTGTTGCGGTCGACGGTATACACGTATTTGTCACCAATAGTTCCCTCATCATCGATCTTGAACCATATATTATTCTCAAGAAAGGTCAACTTTAGCTGGGTTTATTTGGAACATACTATCCGATACTTCGAAAGGGTGTTTGGTGGAAGCCAGTCTAATCATGAAACATAATTCAGGAAGCAGGACGAATGACTGTCATTCGGCCACTAAGCAAGCATGTTGCCGTCGAGTGAAATTTAAAGTACATCTCATGGATTTAATGAAAAGTATATGCGACTCAGAACGAAATAATAACTATCCATGCTATACACGGTGTTCAAACTAACAATGTGGAAAACGATAAAAAAGGGAGACGGTAAACTAGGTTCCACTGGTATCAACTTAGTTTACCGTTTGACTAAATCCCAGAATAACAAAGCTGTATTAGCCTCATTAAGACGTGGATTAAGTTGTTAGAAAATTATCCAGAACTTATTTGCCAGTAAAAGGAAGTTTCAGAGGTAACTTGGGAGTGTAGGAGACCACGGCTTTCCTCTATTTACAAGACCCTGAGGTCAAAAGATGCTCAGATCTGCCAAGGCTGTAATTATCAACCTGAGTGGTGCTTCTCCGATCGAGACAATGCTTGGAAGGAAAATCCGTAAACTGTTTGACGTATACCTCCCGGAGCGACACAGCAACAAAACACTGGAAATCGCCCGTCCAACAGCAATGGAGCCGCAGTTGAGCTGGCGCCATGGCATGTGAGATCGATCTTTTGTGAGGGATCAGAGAGTTTTGGCGAGGTACTACCGAGATAATCAAGAACGATGAACACTTGACGGAATATACAGACGAAGAGGAAGAGTGATCTATAAAATCTTAGTCGGGTTTGAAGTGTGGGTGTGACACGCCATCCTGCTAAAACTGACCACCAATGATAAATCGAACCCGGAACCTGAACCCTGGTTGGTCACATTTGCCATATCAGTACTTAGCCGTGAACTACCAAAACCGATACCCTCACCGAAGATAGAACGCTTCCTCTATCCTCGACGACGGACAGATCGCACACGCACCGTAACACAAATGTTCCAAATCAACCCGATTTCACGAACCTACAACAAGCCGTCAACCTCAAAAAGGGAGATGTTAGGGCGGAACGTCAAGCCAAAAGCACACTCGCGACGCACCAGGCAGGAAGGGGTTCAGACTAGACGACTGTAGATCGAATAAGCCAGTGCTTGTCCGATCGTACAATTGGAATGTCAAAGACGCAATCTGATTGGTATGTCATCGTGCCGCTCTCTTATGCCTGATTTACCTTACATATATGGGTATCGAGCTTTAATTTTTAGAATACACTTTGACTGTTGGTTCTAGTCGTGTTCTCACTGTGCGTTGCTGTAGGTGGGGGGGAGGGGTAAGTGAAAGGTGATCATGCCAAGCTTACGCCCAGATCGAACACAACACAGTACGTCTGCTGATGCAGACCGGGATAATAGATTTGGGCGCTCAATTGCAGTAAAGCCGGAGACACTCCAACTAAGCCATTGTATGGCAATTATTAACCATTCGGAGATACTTCTGTATATTTCTGAGATAGCCTCCGAAAGTCCCACTGCGGCCGATGATGGGTGTCTCGAGCTCTGGTTGGTCACCCTTCCCTAGTACCTCCTGAAAGGCTCCCATACGACCAAGAGTCTCAAATAGCTTCAGATGAAGAATTCCTATACACTGCATTCCCGCAGCGGAGGCGTGTTCCCCTCAAAGTGAAGAAAAGACAATAGTGTCTAAAACCGGGTCGGT